CTTTTTTAGGTAAGGTCTCGCTTCAGTCAGTTCAACGCAGAATCACAGAATGTTCGGGGTTGGAAGGGACCTCTGGAGATCATCTAGTCCAACCCCCAACAACATAACTGATGTCACTGGTCAGCTTGGCCTCAGGTTTTCTGGCTTACAGAAGAAATTTCCCAGACATGCTGCTCTGGGTTGTTTCTCCAAATTTTCAAGCTTACTTTAAAATTTAAGACCTTCTTACCAACTCTAAATGTGCAGAAGAGCCAAAGTGCTACTTCTGCCCTTATGAAGAGGGATCTTCTCCCGCAGCAGCTTGGGGATAGAGCTGGCAGGGCAAGTGCCTCCCCAAGTCCCTCCTCACCGACATGTTTTTTGTGTGTTTGGTGTCCCCTGCCCTCCCAACCGAAGGATTGATTCAGCTCTTCCCCAGCACCCTCAGAAGCAGCTCCAAACCCAACCCACCCTCAGAGGAGACGCAGCTCCTGCAACCTGTGTGCTGAGACCGAAGCCCTCTCGGAGTCTCACCTCTGTGTCGGGAGCGTGGATGCTCCTCGGCGCGCGCTGCAAGGCGGGCATGTGGCCAAAGAGCTGGAGTTTGCTCTCGTGCAGCCGCACGCTCTCCTCATCTGGGATCTTCCCTCTGAGCGCATCACATGGACAAGGCACAGGTTATTTTCCTTCTGGCCATGCTACATTTTCAAAGGGGCATTTTCGTTTTCAGCCTCAGAGCCTTTGGCCTCCACAGCCTTCAGCTGGTGCAGAGGGCTTGGATGGGGAGAGGGGCTAATTGCATCCCACGGCAATTAAAAGCCACAGCACGAGTGACTGGGCACACCTGAGGCTTTCCTCTGCATTTCTTAGGAGAAGCAGGCACAGAACCGGAGAGCGCTGGCAAGAGGCAAGCTGCCAGGGCTGGGGGCATCACCAAGTGCCTACCTGCTCTGCAGGGGAATTGTCGTAGGCCGTTTGCACCAAGAGGTCTCCTCTAGGTCAGAGATCTTCTGCAGGAGCCGTCTTCTCTCCTGGAGCAGTTTCTCATTCTCAGCAGTGATCTGGGCAATCAGCTCCTTCCCCTGAGCAGCATTTACAGAAGGAATTAAGAACCAGTGGTTACGCTTCGCTCTCCTCTGCCCTCTGGAGTGCTTGACCAAAGGTGACACGACCAAGCACTTCACTCCGAGAAGCTCACTAGTGGAGGTAACAGCCCCTCCCAGAAGAGGCTTTGGAGTCACTTCCTGGCAGGAATATTTCTGAGGCAAAAGGAGATGGAGTTTATGAACAGGATTTAAGGACACAGGTTGCCCCAGGGGAAAACTTGAGCCTGCTGACCTGCTCTTCCTAAACTTCATCTCCTTTTTCCCTAAAGTGCATTTCTCTCTGGAAGAAAGGGTGCTCCTGCAGACACGCTCTAGCCCACTCCCCTGCATTCCCTCACGGGAGAAGTGCTCATGCATTCTCTCACCTTTTCCACCTGCAGCTTTGACTCGCTGAGCTCATTTTCAAGCTGCTTAATCCTGCTGTCCCTTTGTTTCACTTCATGGATAAAGGCCTCCTTGGCTCTGCGGATTTTCTCTTTGTGGCGGAGTTGCATTTTGTCGTATTTCCTGAGGAGGCAGGGAGACACCCATCAGGCAGGGAAATGCTTTTGTGCTCTGGGTCAAAGGAAAGGCAGGAGACCGTCGCTCCTCCCCTCAAACCTGTCCTGTTTAGGCAGTATTCGTGCTTGGTTTTATCCAGTTGGGACTGAAGGGAAAGTGATGTTCAAAATGAGAGCACTCTCTACCATGTAAGGGATATTTGCCCAAGCTTACTCAAAACTCAGGACAAAAAGGCTGCTCTGCTTCCTATTAGATCCAGAGTGCTCTGGGGAGAAACGAGCAGCTCCATGGAGCATCTCTGCCAATGGCAGACCCTCAACAGCGGCAGCCACAGCCCTCCCCGTGCCCCCACTTTGCTTTCTGAACTGCCTTCTGCTGCCCAGGAGAACACAGCAGACATGCAATGCATAACTTAACGGCACGCAGGTTAAGACAGAACTCTCAGTGCCAAATGCCTTGAGCAGGATTGGCAAGAAAGGCTATGGGAGAGTCAAGAACCTGGGGAGGTTCTTCTGTGTCTCCACGTCCCCTGCTGCTGCCGTCCGTACCTGACACACAGATCCTTCTGGTTCAGGAGACGGACTCCTTCCTCGTAAAGGGCTTTGTTTTCCTCCTTCAGCACTGAAAGCTGCTCTGAGAGCCTCTGGTTCTCCTTCTGATACTGGAAGTGATGGAAAACATGTAGTTTTTAGTTGTGCGTGTGCAGGGGCCCCTCTGCCTCAAGGCAGTCTGGTCTCCAGGGTTTCTCTGTCATAAATACCAGTGGTTCCCCCTACAGAGAACATCCATCTGTTCTGTCCCCCAAGGCCACTGCCTCCTGCCCTTAACGAAGGGGCAGTGTGGGTTTCTGTGCTCCTGGCAGCAGCTGCAGGCTTCACACCAGGGCAGAGGGAGGGAATGCATCCTCCCTGGCAGCAGGCTCTGCCAGAATTCCCTGCGAAAAGCTCTGTGCTCAGCAAGGAAAGGGGACAACTTCTTCCTCTCTCCCTCCAAGTTCTTCTGTGCCCTCAGAGCTGCATCTCTGGGAAACCTACACAAGTTGGGATGATGCTTTTTCAGCTGCGGCTCACCTCACTCGTATCAGTTTTCCTCTCCTCTTCAAGGACATGCAGAGTCTTGGCCTGCAGCTCCACGTGTGTCTTGGACAGCAGCGCCTCTGTCTCCAGCGAACCTGCTGCCGCAGCTCCTCCACCTGCTGCTCCAGGAGCTTCCTAAAAGCACGGTGGTGCGACAGTGAGACCCTGAGGTGGAGCCCAGTCCACAATGTGCCCCTGTGAGTGCAAGGCTGTCTGTGATCTAAAAACATCCCACTGCTCTGCCCCGGCTCTGGGCAGCGTTAAGGGTCGCAAGAAATCACTGTGCCCTTGTTGCGGTGGCAGGTGAAAGGGTGCGTGATGTACCTGGGATCATCCCGGCTGCACAGGAAAGGTGACTGCTGGCATCTAGAGGGTAACCCAAACCACTGGGCTGGAAGGAGGGGCCACGCACCTCTGAGGCAGCTGAAGTCTCCAACAGTCTTTTAAATTGCTCCTCTGGAGCTCCTGCCAGGGATACTGGCAGCCCAAAAGGAGGGATCAGAGGTGAAACCGGTGGGGCAGTGACTCCTTGAGTCCACCGAGAGCCAGCCGCAGAGCTGCAGGCTGGCACAGCAGCATTCCCTGGCACACGACTCCCCTCCGCACGCGGCACAGGCCTTACCCAGCTCCAGGTACCTTTTCACCTGCTCCTCGTGAAGTTCTTGCTGCACACGAGTTTTATTTTCTTGGGTCTCCTTCAGTTCCTCTTCCAGCATTTTCTTGTCTGAGACACGGGCCTCTGCCAGCAGGAGCTGGTGCTGTGAATCTTTTAGCTTTTGCTGGAGCTTTGAAATCTGGGATTAAAATTGGACACGGATTAATCTTTCTGAATTTATAGGCCAGCATCTGAATCCAAGGGACTCCAAGGGATTCAGATCCCTTTGATCCTTCAGTATCTGAGTCTCAGGAATGAAAGGTTTGCTTGCTTCTACTCAAATGAATTTCTGTGTGTCTTTGTGTCAAAGTCTGTTAAAAGCAAAACCATCAGGAGTCAAGCCATTAGATTTGGCTTCTCTTGTCTTGATTACGCTCCCCTCAATAACAGACATTCCTTCCTAAGTTATTTAGCCAAAGGATTGCAAAAATAGACTTTGGGGAACCCGTTCACAAGCTGCTAGTGCTTCATTTTTCTGAACTACTGTTGCACGAAACTGCTATAATTTCCATTAACTCAGCTCATGGGGACGAGTTACCTTTTTTTGTGCTTCAGATAGTTTGGATTTCTCCTGTACAAGTTTCTCTTGCAGGCTGCTCTGCTGTTTATCAGCCTGGGAGCACTTCAACAGCTCTTGTTCAAGTTCTTTGACCTTCTGCTGGCTTTTTTCCCATTGTGCTGAGAGCGAGGAGCACGTTTCCGTTGTGTCCAAAAGTTTTGCCCTGGCTTGCTTCAGCTCAGCTTTGACCTGAGTTTCAAAAGAAGAAGAAAGCCAAGTTTGCACTTCAGCATATACCCCCTGAAATATCTTGATGACGAAAGGGGCAACAGGATTACTCGAAAGCGCACGAGAATAAAAGAAATACAGGGATGTGATGCTCTCTTCAAGCAGTTCTCCCCACTCTGTTCTTACCCTGGTGCATTCTTGTTGGAGCAAGAGGTTTTGCTTTTGCAAGTCGACATTCTTCTCCCTTTCGTATCTCAGCTCCCTCTCGGCTGAATTGCACAAGTTCTGGACGCGACGCAAGTCCTGCCGCAGCTGCTGCAGTTTTTCCTCCTGCTGCTGGAATCTCTCATCAGACAGACTCTGCAGCAAAATGGCAAAGGTTACACAGAAATTAACATCAAGGAAAGAAGATGACTGATAATTAAAAAGTCTAGAAGCGTGCCAGTAGGATTTAAGGGCATTTAAGTAGGAAAATGGGTAAAGCCAGGCGCCCACACTGTGTCCTGCTTCCACCCTGTCCATCTCCTCTGAGAAGCCGACACAACTCTTGAGGTCTTGAGGTCAAGGGAGAAGATGCAACAACCTGGATGAGGGAACAAATCCCTGTCGAAACAGAAAGACCTCCAGGTTCCTCTTAACTCTTGTGCCAGAGTCTCACTAAGGCAACTAAGCAGGAGCAGCACATCCAGCCACAACTCCCAGAGGGAGCAGGAACGAGGCGAGTCCCGGCAGTGGCACGTAGATATGCCTGCACGGTACGACAGCAGCCTGGACGCCACGAGGTGGTTACCTGTGGTCTATGAAGGCTTTCAGAAGAGAATTGAGCTCTTTTGCTTCACTCATCTTCTTGCAAGAGCCTTGTGCAGAGACTAAAAGCCCTTCCCATGTTCCAGGTACCATAACCCTTCATCCCAGTATCACTTTGAGCCATCTGTCGATCTGCACTCCTGCTTTGTGTCTTCACCCTCTGCCCGTGGGACCAGATGAAATCCTCTGAGGACCAAGCTTCCCTTCTCAGATAAATCCCCAAATCAATTCCCAAGACGGGAAGACTTGATCCAGCACTGTGGGATCTGGCAATGTCATCAGCTAACACTACAGGACTGGCTTCCAGTCCACTTTAATTAGGTTTTGCCACTGAATTAGTGGGAAATAAATAAATAAAGAGTACGGTGCAGATGGCAAAGCTTCCCATACCTGTTTCATGCTCCCATCTAAACTGCCTGCAGAGCTCTGCGACACGAGAAACCTGCTCTCTCTATGCGCCAGGCCTGGATTCATTCTCAAAGTCTCTTCGAGCGTGCTGTCGCCCTGCTCCCGGGAAGTCAGGATGTCTTGTTTTAGCTGGGCAATTTCTTCCAGTAACAAGCGTTTTTCTTCATTGCTCTCTTTTAGCTGCTTTTCTAGCTCCTCCCTCTTCTTGCTGCTTTCTAGTAATTTGGAACTTGAAGGAGAAACAGTAAAGGAGAGAGATAACTACAGACATCCAAGGGAAACCACCCTTGAAGGGGAAAAAACTTGGGATACAAGAGTCTACTGAAATGCTCAAGCATCTCGGAATGCTCCAAAGGGGATTTAATCCTGAGTCTCACAGCTCCAGGCAAGGTTCAGTCTTTCCTGGACACTGATCGCAAAGAAGCGGCTGTCCGAAGGGTCAGTTCTCAGTCACTCACCAGCAGGTTAACCGCTGGCTCAGGAACGCTCGCACGGGGCCACGCGACCTGCTCTGCCCTCAAGCAGCACGGAAGCGTTCGCACGACTCCTCACTGCGCACAGGTACGGGCTCAGGTCTCCTGATCGAGCTGCCCGAGGCAAACCATAAGCTACACCTGCCTGTCTGATTCTGGTTTTACTTTATGTCAGTACCCAGTTACGCAGGTGACTGAGCTGACTGTAACTACGCTGGATTGAACCCAAGCTTTTAGTTACTAATGAAAGCTTGAGCGTGGATGCTCCGACCCCAAATTTGTATTGATCTACTGAAAAAGAGGCTTCAGGGCACCTGTAAGAGCTTTATTTATGATCCCAGTGCTTGCTGACACCTGCCCTCCAAGGACAACCAATACCCACAGCAGGATATATACCAACAGGCAACACCCCAAGGAGCTCAAGCCCACACTGGGAGCTTTGTGGGACCATCTAAGTCCAAATAGCACCTCCAAGAGAAGAAGCCTCCTCCTCCCTAAGGGCAGCTCTTATTTATGGAATCTGGAATAGCTGCACGAAATAAAAGTTTTACTCCTGACTGATCGTGATGTCACTAAGGGAAATACTTAATTCACCAAAATCTCTGCAGAGTGATGATGACCCGATAAGGAAGACACAAAGCTGCTTGCGCCCATTTTGGCCAGAAGCAGCACTACAGGGATTTTTCAAAGACTGAAAAACTAGTCAGCAAAGATAAGGAGTAGAAAGTACCATGGGCCTTGTTAAGGATTACCAGAGCAGTTCTTGTTCATCTCTCAAGTTTTTGATCTGTTCTTCCAAAACCACTACTTTAGCCATTTGTTCTTCACGTGTCTTTTCATCTGTACATAGGTCTTCATGTTTCTGCTCAAGTTTGTTAATCTGGTCTCTTTCTTGTTTCCTGTAAGGTCAGAAAACACCATGACTGTGATTTTCTTCGGTCTCATGGAAAATTTTTGAGCAGTGCAAGGCAATCTGGGGACTCCATCAAGACATGGCTTTGTGACTCTGTAGCCAATCACCGCAGTTCTTCACCCTTGAAGGCAGATGTAAAGGTCCATTTTTCTGCATGGGAAGTAGCTGCGTGCAAACTATCACCAAATCACTTTTTTATTATTTGATTTCATCCTTCTGGTGCCCACCTGTGGAAGGTTGGTTTGGGTTGCCTTGGATTGAGGCTGCTCTCTGAGCGAGACGGCTGAACGTGCACCTTGTACTCTTCCCGTTTTCCCCATCGTTCCCCCAAATAAGACAATTCCTTTTCACGGGTGTAATCACAGACCAACCTACCCCTTCCTACCCTGCTCTTCAGCAAGGCGTGCTCTGCATCCAAAGCTTTTACAACACTTTGCTGCCTAGCGATGCTACAAAAGCCCTGTCCTCTAGATGCCACTGTTCCTCCAGAAATACTCTTGTGTACACCCAGTTGCGCCAACCGTTCAGGACTTTGGGTTTTTTATGTCCATTCAAGGAAATTATATGACTCACAGCTGGTTCAAGGCCCCTTCAGAGTGCTAAAAAAATGAGGTTTGTGATAGATGTGACCCTCCCCTTGCCAGGCTCCCTCAGGTCCCCCTCGTCTGCCTGATCCAGCAGCTCTCTTAAATTTTCAGCCCCTCTCCTGCCTACGCTCACGCCAGCCCTTGTGCAATTTTGCTGGCGTCACGCACTCACTCTCCTCTGTGGCCCAGGTGGAAGACAAGAGCACCAGCAACTCTCCCAGCAGAGAGAAACCCACCAAAAGTCTAAATTGCTTCACGTGAAGTGTACTGAGGTCCTCAGGGCACGTAACAAAAGCAGTGCCAGGATCCCAGCAAGCTGTTCACACGGACTTCTGTGGCTCTTAGGTGCTCTGACTTCCTATCATGCCATATTCTGGTTAAGATAGATAATATTAATATTAATATTAAAAGGGACGCACGTTAAACAGGTTCAGAATTAGGTCACTCGATTGACTTCAGAAGAGCAATCCCTGCCAATGGGCAGCTGTGACATTGCTCTGCAGGGAGGTCTGGCCTCAAATCTACAAGTACCCTGTCATGTCGCGACACAGAGAGCTGAAGGCTCGTGTTCATGAGCTTTATGGTCACAAATAACTCTGCAATAAATACATGCGAAAACTTCCACTCTGCCCTCTAGAGAAGGGGCACCCTTGGCTACAAACTCTGAATTATTGTTTTGTTATTAGATTCTCTGAAAGGAAAAATAAATTACGGAGTCAGGGACAGTTCCATTAAAGCAGAGGGATTTAAAACCAGCTAGCAAAGAAGCTTCAGAACTGGCAGGGCTAAAGAAATGCATCAGCACAAGTCAAGCAACACACTCAGGGGGCAACCAGGGATGTTTTATGGGATCATAAAAAGCAGCTGCAGGGAGTCTCGGTGCAGGAGCTTTACGTACCTGGCTGCCCAATACCTTCTTCTCGGCCTTCAGATCTTCTCGTAACAGTTCAAGCTCAGACGCAAGTTGCTTTCTCCACTCCCTCCGCTCTCCCAGCTGACTTCCCAACTTTTCTATCGTTTCCTGACAGCTTTCCAGCATCTAGAACAAGCAAAACCACGAGTTACTTCCATGACATCATTTATTCTAGCCAAAGAGAAACAAACTGCAGAAAAACAGGGCTGGGAAAAAATCGTTCTTAGAAGCTGCCAGCAGGGTTCCTGCACCTTAAACCCAAGGCTGGCTGGACATCTCCAAGGGCCTGGAGCCTCCATCCGACTCAAGAGATCTCAGGGAGGTCCTCTCCCACAGGAAATGTCTTGGACACCTGGCAGATCCAAATGGCTGGCAGGTACCAGTCAGCCCAAAACCAGCTGGGAAACAGCCTTGTGAAGGTCCCTGCACACCAACCAGGTTTCACTAGACTCTACGCAAGAGTCAAGCATCTTTACGTGCGTGAACCCTTCACCAGAGAGTGAACAAGGTCCTCAGGTTGCAGTGAAGGCAAACCAATCTTCTAAGAGAGATGAGTTATCAGGGAGATACTGTATCTGCTTTCCTCCAAAGACATCCTGCATGAGCTGATGGGCTACAACCACTCAGAAGACAGCGACGAAGCACATTTGTAGGAGATGCTCACTTCATGCATTTCTAAAGAAAGCAATTTCTTTCCCAAGGAAAACCTCTTACCTCTTGCATCTCTTGTGTTCCGGACGCTGCCTGCTCTTCCCCGCTCACCTCAGCTTTGCTCTTCTGCACTTCAAGTAACTCTGTTTCTAAGCTCGTGATCTTAACACAAACAAATCACAAGTTAAAACCAAACCAATACTCACAACCAGTACGAAACACAACTACTACTAAATTGCAACTTGTGCTGTGTTACAGAACAAGCCCCATGTTTGGAAGTGAAGACCAGGAGGGGACGTGGATGGCTGCCAGCCTGGGCCAGCTCCAGCTCACACCTTTCACTCTGCTGCTTCAAAGGGTGAAGGAGCCACACAAGGCAAAGTCAGAAGATGAAAGACTTCTGCTCCACAAAGGAAGAGAAATGACCCAGGCAGATGGTGAAAATTCAAGGCCTCCACAGTTTGTGGGCCTTCTACGTGCTGCTCTCCCAACACGAAGGACTCCTGATTTATATTGTGGCCCATCCTCCTTTCCCACACTGTCACAGCACCTGCTCCCCAACAGCTGATCTCATCCAAGCAGATGCTTGACCTCGTCCACCAAGACTTGTCCCGGTCCCTCCACTGCCCAAAGGAGGTCGCAACACCCGCCCGCAAGGCTCCGAGGACTCCCCGCTCGAGCCAGGAGAACGCTGACCTCTGTGCTTTTCCTGGCAGAGGAGAGTTTGTCTGGACAAGCACTCACTCTGCACTCTCACCATCCTCCCCCAAGGGAGAATCTCATGGGAATGATTACTAGTCCTGCAGTTTTAAAGGGCTTAAAGTTGCTAGGAGCAGTCCAGCTTCTCCTCCCCACGGTGGTTCCTGCAGACCCTTTTTCAAAATCCGAGTCTTGGCACTCGCAGCTGCCCTGCTCTGCTGCCAGCCAGCGTGGCATTCCACTGCCTTTCCTTCCAGCTTCTTACACCCAGAAGAAAGTTTGTGCTGGTTTTCTTATTTCTAAACCACCGAGCTGGCCTCCCCAACTGCCCAAGATGTGTTTTCACCAACTGAAGCTGCAGAGGAAGCCGGGACACTGAAAGGAGATGAAGCCCAGCTTCACCTGCACACAGCACACAGGTGTGCGTATAGTGAGGTATGTAAGCTGCCTCACACCCTTCTCACCCTCTTTTCTTTGCACTTACTCAGAGATCATTTTTCATTCCTTTCCAACGGGAAGCCAAAGCCAAAGAAGTGCTGATCCCAGTCTATTTTAAACAACCACAAAGCAGCACGTCGAAGCCCAGGAGTTTTGCTTTCACCAGACAGGCTTTGCCCCGGAGCTGGCTCACCTGAAGCTCCCAGCAGGGAATGATCTCTAACACAGAGCAAAGCCACCGTGATATTGGTTTTTAGGACAGATGGTTACCCAACCTAGGTGTTAAATTGGTGGGGTGAAACACTCAGGCTTCTTACAGAAGAGCTAGAGAGCAACAAACCGCCCTCCTCTGGCACAGCTAGATGACAGTTTGGGGTCCAGCAGGATATTAGAGCTGTGGAAGGGATCTCAAAAGCACAATAAACCTCCTCTCCCCATTCTCCAGCAAACCTTTGGTCATGAAATTGCTACCCAGCTACGCATTGCCATCATTTTCCTTATTTTTTTTTTTTCCTCCAAGCCACTAACTTTTAGGCATTTAAGTTGCGCACGTAAGTCCCACGCCGACGGCAGAACAATGCTCACATTGTATCCCGGTGTCCTTGTTCCGAGTCAGTGGCCTAATCAGCCAAGATTTTTGTAGGCGTGCCAGAACAGGAAAGGCTTCCAAGTCCTCCTCACGTGGGGCTGCCTGGCAAACCCCCAGCAGCACCACTTTCTCTGGGCTCCAGCGCTCCTGCCTTCACACCGTCCTTCCCTCGTTACCTCTGAGGCACCTCGAAACCCCTCAGAGACGAAGGATGCAGCTCTGCAGCCCTCCACCTGAGCTGATGCTGGACCTAACGAAGGGTTAACCCACCTCCTTTTCCACCCTGCAGTCTGCCTGTCTTTCCTTCTCCACTACCCTGTGTTGCCTTTTTTCTGTCTCTTTTTTCAGTTACAGCGGCTGCCAAGCTCATGCCAGCCAAAACATCTTGCAATCTCCCTGGCTACTCGGCGCTCCCCACTGCGTTGCCCCCCAGCGTGGCGTTCCAGGGATCCATTTAACAACGTGCTGAGCGAAGAAAGGATCTCTCCAAGCTGGAAACGCGTCTTGTTTGATTTGTGGAGGGTCGTGTTTATTCTGCTTCAGTGAGAAAGTGGGAAACGCTTTAGCGCACGCTGAGCAAACCCTGATTTAAACAAAAGCACAGTCGTGGTGGACAGATCTTCTGCCATTCCCACCACTTGGCTCCTCAGCGACACGCTTAGAAACATGACAGCTGCTGGCATCCTTCATTAAGATATTTGAACATGCCTTCAGACTGTTTCACTGTATTTGTAGGCTTTTCCCTCACAGCCAGAGGCTACAGACAAGTAATTCATCTTTTCTTCCTTTGAACAATTCACCCTGGAGATGTGTGGCTACTCCAGCGTTCACACAGGATATGTTTTCACATTTGCACCATCTCCTATATCGTGTTCTAACACAACGACAAGTGTGTGGACACAGAATCACAGAATCATTTATGTTGGAGAAGACCTTTAAGATCATCGAGTCCCGCCGTTAACCCAGCACCACAAAACCACGGCCCTGAGCACCACATCTACCCAGCTTCTAAATCCCTCCACTACCCTGGGCAGCCTGTTCCAGGGCTTGAAAACCATTTTGGTGAAGAAATTTTTCTCATATTCAACCTAAACCTCCCCTGGAGAAACTATCTTTTGAGTAGCTGTAGAGAGTGATAAGGTCTCCTCTTCCTTCTGCCCTCTGAAACCCAGCGCTGAGGCCCATCAGGAGCACTGATACCATCTAGTTAGCAGAGCCTCTCAGGGGAAATCAGAGCTTCTAAGCTCCCAAAGTTTTAGAAGAAATAGCTCTGGAGGGGGAAAATTAAAAAAAAACAAAAGCGACTCTAATTTCAAAGAACAGTTTTACTTCAGTTCAGCCAAGAAACTGAAGGGGGCACAGCCCACTCGTACGGAAGGGCTGGACAGGGAGGGAGTGTTGCCTGATCTCACTCCCATGGATGCAGGAGGTCCATCAGCTCGTTATCTCTGCTTGCCCAAACACCAAAAAGTGAGAACAGGAGCTGGAAAAGGCAACGCTGCTGTGACTCTGGGGGAATCAGCGTATCTGCACCTCCAGACAAGGGTCATTTACTCACTGCTGGATTTTTTTTTTCTTCTTTTCCCCTATTCTCTGAAACCAGTAGATTTTGCTAGTTACATTTCTTGCCACACTAAAGAAAGCAGCATGCAGGCTTAGGTCAAACATCATTTCATTTTACTAATCAGTATGCAGAGAGAAAAGCAGCTAAAATCAGACGGAACCGAAACTTCCGTTCCTTACGTACTTTCCGGTGAAGTCCCTCCATTTCACTCTCAAACTGCTCCTTCTCCTGCTTGGTTTGGATCTGTGTCTCTCCCAGAATCGATTCCAGCTCTTCGTTGCGCTCAACCAAATCCTCGTGCTCCTGCTCCAGTTTCTGCAGCTTGTGAAGGAGCTGGGAATTCCTGCCCTCGATGTTTTCAATCACCTCTCGGCACCTGCGCATCAAAAGACCAACATGCCCGACTGTTCCGTAAACGCACCGACACGTGTCCAAACCTCTTATTGCTGGCAAGGAAAAGCCAACGTGTGCTTCCCTATGGAATATTTAAAGTTTCGCATCCCGCGTGGCCTGTGCCTGCTCTTCTCTAGGTGGTGATGCTCGGGAATTAGTGGCAACAGACTCTATGCAAGTCATGATGAAGGTCTGGGGAGGAAAGGGGTGAGGCACGAGGATGCCGACAGCAGAGAGGCAACGGCAAATTCAGCTGCTTGAGGTGAGGGGAGAGGATTGGGGATTTCAAGGGAAAAAAGGTCAGGAGGGATGCGATCAGATCCCCTTTCCTCCTTGAACCGCCTAGAAGAGGTGCAACAGCTTCCTGAGCAGGCCACAGTAGAACAAAGCTTTGACTTCCCTTAAAAACTCCAGTTTTCACACTGAAGTTTGAAAGCCAAGTGTTTCGGTATGCTCCTGGCCAGTAACCAAATCCAGAGAAATCTTCCCAGCAGCAGAACAGTTTTGAAAGCAACACTTTTGCCTGCAGAGAGCCATGAAAGTCCAACTCTGTTCTTTTAGGAAAGCAACAAACCGAAGAAAGTGCCAGCAAACACCACAGGCTGCTCAGGGCTGCATCACCTCCCAACCTTCTGCTTCGGGAGCAGACGACCCAAGTTAATTCAATCCCAGCCCAAAGCAGCGCAGTACCAAAGAGCATCCTAAAGAATCAATATTTAAATCCATCCTGCAGGAGAGAATACCAGTAACCAGAGCGAAAAATGCAACAGATGAAGGATTCCTAAGCCGCTCACCTTTTATGAAGCGTTTCACTACCCTGGTATCCGTCTTCTTGATCTGAGCCCACTTTGCCTGCAACAGAGTCTCCTTCATCCTTTGTGCCCTGCATCTCAAGAGAGAAATGACAAATACTTCACATGATTAAGATTGAAATCTTTGCATAACGTCGATTCCGAAGGCACCGGAGCCTCCCAGAAATAAGACAACCAGAAAACACAAGCTACATCAATCATTTATCAGCATTAACTCCGATTCACGTTGTTAGAGGTCTCTGAGTCGTAGAAGAAAAAAAAAAAAAGACCCCAGAGATCTCTAACGACGTGAAGGCACAAGTGGATATTTGGTTGTACCTGCAGCGAGGATGCCGCGACTTCTTCCATCTCGGCTGGCGCAGGCAGTGGCAGCCCTTGCTTCTCGCTCTTCTGATACTCACAGATCTCCTCTTTGAGCTGCTCAACCTTCGAAAAGGGAAATGCTCGCTTTTATTTTTGGGGAGCTGTGTCAAGAGAATCAAGACTCCCCTCCAACTTGCAGTAGATAAACTGCAGATTGATTAATATGAATGACTCTTGAGGCTTGAGGGACCGTTTGAGGTCATGTGGCTGCTCCAGACTATTTAGAGAAGTAAAGAGCAGGAAAACAGGGAACTTTTTATATATATTTAGGTTTTTTAAAATCTACTTTTACTTAAAAATATAAAAAATACATTTGTTTAAAAAAAAAAACATATACACACATGTGTGTATACATAGTGACTGAAAGAAGCAATGTCCTAAAGCAAAGAAAACACTACTTGGAATAAAAAAAAAACAAAAAACTAAAAAAGGTAAAACGAGGAATGTGAACTAAACTACACGTTGTCTTTTGGCTGACCCAGAAACAGTGTGTCCTGTAAAAATAAGGTTTGAGATTACAGATACACTTGCACGCTACACTCAGGAAGAACCAGCAAATTTTATTAAAAGGATGAACTATGTAATAGAACTTTAAAATCCTCAAATGTGAATAAATTATATTTTAAAAAAAGTCTTTATTATTTGAAAGAGATGTTCTCAGAGATACTCATTTTAATCCAAAAGATCTGCAAGACTGAGCTCTCGGTGCCGGGATGGCATAAGTAATTACAGGCTGCTGGTGACCAATTAGAGGCTGCTAAAGAACTGATATAAAGAATTTAAGAGTTAAAAATAGAAACAGAATTTGTGCTAAATAACAGACTGTTATATTCATTCACTGCTGGAAATCTCAGTCGGACACTATCTTGTTGATAAAGAATATTGCATTTAGAGAATCCTAAATTTATTACGTCAAGCATTTAACTGACAGCAATGTAACGGTAAATCCTTCACTTCAGAAAAGCCCACACAAAATGAAAAGGAATGTTTCACTTCTGCTGAGCAAACCAACATAGCTACATTAAAAAGTCAGAGAGGCCGAGAGGTACCAAAACACAAGCATAAAAATTTAAAACTGTTTTTAAAACAGCCTGTATCAAGTTTTAAATTAAATTACTCGCTGTCTTTCCTAACAGTCCCAAAGAAAAGGCAGAAGTGTTGCTAATTCTGCTGACCCACTTGATTTCGTGCAGGCATTGGCCAGGAACAGAAAGCTTCAAGGGTGAGCCTGCACAGGAAAAGACATTTCGGGGCCCTGCACCACAAGCCCTAAAGCACGGACTTGGTTTGAGCGTGTTCCGGGCAGCATCGAACTCCCCCTGAAGGATGCTATGAAAGCCGATTTTTTGAGGGCTGCAGCAACAGCAGCTACTTTAAACCACTCTTTGGCAACAAAGCTGGTGAAGGGCCTGGAGAATAGATCCTACAAGGAGCGATTGAGGGAGGTGGGTCTGTTCAGTTTGACCAAGAGGAGGCTGAGGGGGGATCTTGACAGGACATTGTAGAGAGGTTGGTGCTGGTCTCTTCTCACAGGGAATTAGGGACAGAACCAGGGGGAATGGTTGCAAGTTGCAACAGGGCAAGTTTAGGCTGGACATGAGGAAGAAATTCTTCACGGAAATAGTGGTCAGGCCCTGGCCCAGACTGCCTGGGGAGGGGGTTGAGTCACCATCCCTGGATGTGTTCAAGTGTCGCTTAGATGTGGTGTTGGGTGATATGGTTTAGGGGTGACCTTGTAGGGTAGGGTCAATGGTTGGACTCGATGATCCCAAGGGTCTTTTCCAACCTGAATTGTTCTGTGATTCTGTGATTCTAAATA